CTTCATACAACTTCTTGTTTAGTTAGAGCCTCAGTCTTCCATCAGAAGAGACTGTCAGTGGGATTTTCACATGGAACTTTTATGTGGAACTTTTGCTTCTCCTAAAATGGATCTGCAAGAGACGAGAGCTACATATACATTCCTATACCAGGTTAACCATCTGCAGGTTCTTTCCTGTACTTTAAAGCTGTTTTGTCCAGTTTGGGGTAGGTATTACATGGACAAATTGTGAAATGGCTGAAGCACGGAAGATATTTCAGTGAAATGGACTCCTCCTCAGCCTTCTTTCCTGAGTACCTTTTCAATCAGCAGTGCGACACTGCTCACTGTAGATTAGACCATCACAAGAGCCTTTTAAGGAAGGTGGTGTAGTGTACCCTTTATACTACGATTTTTAAGGATTTCCTGTTAACTGAGGGCTAATTGGTGCTTATTAACTCACTTTTATCTGTAGCTCTGGAGAATAGAGCAAAATAAAAATCAACAACTTGTCCCCACCTCAACCCTTGGTTGGCCCCCCTTCAATGCTTGACACAGCCTGTGCCAAAAAAAGAGATCCTGTTGCAAAAGTTTCATGGGTCCTTGGCATATGTGATCCCAGGCATTTTTCTCACACATCTGATCCAAATTCCAGTCACAACAGAAATGTACAGTAATTGAATTGATTGGTTGTCAACTTTAAAAAGGTGACTATATCACTGTTTATCAGTATATTTTTATCACACTGGCCAGTATCATGCAGCCTTCTGTGTAGGGAGGTTAATTGATCCTGCAGGAACTGCTCTGAGGTTATTTTTTTCACTAGCTAATAGCGTTTAGCATTTCACCAGGTCACATTAAACTCAACGTACAAGCAGTTAAGAAAAGTACTGGATCTGGCACTGCTTAATGTCACTGACATGAAATGTGAGCAGCTGTGCCAGCATTCCTGAACTCTGAAAGCACTTTACCTTTCCTCTATCTTTTGGCAATTAAATAAATTTTAATACATTTTTGTGAAACAAATACATTTTAATACACTGCTCTAAGGTTATAAAGGTCAAAGGACTAACTATGTCTTGTCATTTAGATATTAAAAGAAATCATGCCCATTTTAGTCATAGAGATGCCTAGCTGCCTTTTCTCTCCTTCTTGACTAGGCTGAGGATTTACAGTGCTCTATGAGTCGGAGAACTGCTTGTAGATGTAATGAAAATGCCCTCCCCAGCTACTGAGTGTGCATGCACATTCACTAAAAGGGTTATTCTGACTGTTACTTTAGCCTTAGCACATTGTCGTTAGACATCTTGAGGCTAATCTTTTAAGAAGCAAGGCCAAAACTCTGATTAATAACAACAGGCATCAAGAGCCTTTATTTCAATGAGCTTTAAACAAAAGGGCATTTCTATTTTGTATGTAAGTCAAGAATGGGAAGATTTTTCCCCTTCTCTGCCTGTTTTTATACTAAAAAAACTACAAGAAAATAACTTTTTTTTCTTCTGACTTTTGCTGATTTTATAAACCTGAGAGGAAAAGGAGCATTTGCCTTCCTGCACAAGTGATCTCTTCCACCAGATCAATCTTCATATGAAAAGGGTCCTTGAACATAGACTGGACAGCTGATGAGGCAGGCTGGTGGGCTTCTGGTAGTGGGTAATTTGTTCCTCCTGCTCCCTGATCAAAAAAGATCTAGATCTGAAAGTCAGTTCTGAGGAAGCCATTGGAGGCAACCGTGTGGGGACCTCCTAAGTGCCAGGGAAGATCCTGTGGAAGAGAGTGCAGGAACAAGAACTGCAGAGGAGCAGGAAGAATCCATTACTATTCATTTGCCTGTTGTTCGTTTGGAATTTTCTTTTGATGCTTTAAAAAATCCCTCAGCTAGATCCTCAGATTATGCAAAATAGGCCTGACTCCATCAATTTTGCAGTATTCTGGGTGATTTATACAAGGTGCAGAGCCTTACTAGCTTCCACAGAAAAGAAAGAAAGAGAAGTATGTGAGAGAGGCTGAGGAATCACTTTTCACGGTCAAGAAAAGAAGATACAAGAACAGCAGCATCCCCCAATGCGAAGAATGGAGACAAAGGTGCCATGAACCAAACAGTCAGAATGGATGCTAAAATGCAAGTCCCTCTTTCAAACAGTGATTACGCCAGCTTGGAAAAAAGCTATAGGAAGGTTCAGTTTTAGACATGCATGTCCTGTCTCCTTGTCTCCTTTTTTGCTGTTGTTTTGTAATACAGTGATGTGTAAGCCAAGTTAGGTTAAAACCAATACCATGCAAACTCACCTGCACACACACATGCACATCATGGCAGCAGCAGGAGATTCCTTTCCAATTTAAGCAGAGAGAAAAAACCATTTGTTGCCAGGAGCACTGCATAGTCGTTCTTAACTACCTCCCTCCCCTGAATTTGGAGGGATCTAAGTACTTGAGGTGGGTAATCCCATGTGATGACTGATTTCCAGTTTTGCAGGACAAGAAAGAAAAAACAGTTTTAAAATTAAAGATTCTCAAAATCTATCTATCAGCTGAGCTCTAAGGCATGTATTCCTGACAATTCATGGGAAGAACGCAGTAAGTTTTGTAAATACTCTCTTCTTTGTGTTTGTTTATTTTTAATGGAAAAGGTTACTGTAATAGCTTAGACATTATCAGTTGTTTTAACGGTACTCCAAATCATCCAAAACCAAGAGGGTAAACCCTGTGAAAGGGCAAATTTTCATGATCGGACCTTGGAAGTTTACAGGAATTTTTAGGCTCCCAGACATCCACCTATTTAAAGACTTCCATTTATTTCCAACTTGAAGATTTAGCAACAGTGCATGTTTGAATGTATGACATAATCTGACACTGAGAAGCCAGTATGGCATCCGGATTGCTCCTACTGCAGTTAAGTACTGAAGGTGAGACAAAATAACTCCTCTGATTATCTCCTTAGGTATTTGACTGTCAACGTAGCAGAGAGGAAAATACTAAAAAGGAAGAAAGAAAGAAATACTGTTTGTTTGTGCACTCAATGAGAAATACATTATGGAGTTAATAGCCAGATATTCAGCTGATTTAAACCAGCATTGTTACATTAAAGTCAAAGACGCTCTGCCAATTTACTGTAGCTAAGGATCTGGCAATTAGTTATTTCCATTGCTTGGAAAAACACTGAAGAAAAGAACTTTTTAAGAAAGCCCTGAACTAAACTGAGCAATATTTTACTATATCTTATGTATGTGATTCTTATAAACAGGAAGAAAAGGGGCCTCAAAAAAGTAAAACCAGCAATTTATTTGTAAACATTATCTGGCAATGCTAAATAGTTTTCAGTAATAAACAAAGTTCGGTCTCATACCAGATTATCCATTTTATGTGGAGCTGAATTCAAATTGCTGCTTTTCTCATTAAAAAAGGGATGTTCCCCTTAGATTAAAAGGAAGGTGGACTATATTATAACCTCTTCCAATCCTATTTCAATTCCTCCCCTATGGTCTCCCTAGTCTCAGTTCAGACTTATTTCTATATTTATTTAAGAAGTCACTCTTCCAGGATCTCATGATGTCTTTAGCACATGGACAGAGTGTGGAGTTTGGTGCCAGGAATGCAGTGCAAGAAAAAAAAATAGGAGAAGATCTGAAAAAAACAAAACAAAACAAAACACAAAGGACACACAAAACGAGCAAACAAATGAACCAAAACACACCGAGCTTCAGAAATGAGCAACCACAGCAGGGTTCCACTTCAATTTGATTATGTAATACACTCTTTTCTTCACCCCAGAAGGTAACACACAGTAGTGAAGTTCAGATGTAGTACAGAGGATGTTGCTTGTTAGAGTGGAAACAAAGTGGCCAGCTAGTTATAATGCCAGGCCTGTTTCCCATACTTTGGGAGAAATATGGAGGTTGTTTGCTGAGTGTCAGTTTGAGTTAGTTTTATTTAGGTCTAGAAAGAGAAAGGCATTGCCTCGCTCCCAGGGTGCACGCAACAAAGCTTAGAACCTTCCCATATGCAGAGTTTACTTTCGCTGTAAATTATACGCTTGGATACCGGAGCACAGCATTTCTTCTGTGAATGAAGAGCTGCCAAATTGGTTTGTATAGAAGAAATGGCTCCTCATCAAACTTTTGCTTACTATTTGTCATGGATCAGGTTCTTCTGCCTTCCTCACAATGCATGGTACCTTATTCTATGAGCAAACCTATTGTAGAGTATGGTAATGACTAAATTTGAGGAAGGTTTGTCAACTCTGACAATGTTTGAATCATGGAGTGTGACCGAGTCAAAAGCTTTGAACAGATTTGTATTTAATCTATGTTTTCTTTAGAGTGAAAAGGAGTTTTGGATAGGAACTGGTGTCAGAGAAAGGGATCAATAGCTACCCACAGAACCAGACTGAGAACTCTGGCAAATTCTGATATTTGACATTCAACATGTGATTTTGTTTGGATCCATTTTTAATTAATAGTACCGAGGACCTTTTTGAATAAAATTACAAAAGACTATTCAATCATAGTTTGTCTCTCAACAAGTCTTGGAATATGCTCATTTTGTAACTGGAGAACTGTGCCAATTTCAGCTTATTTCTTCTAACACACTGGGATTGTCACGACCATGCAATGTTATATAAAAACATATTGGTAATTAATAACCAGGGAACAGAAGTGACTTCTGCAATGGTTACTTTACCTATGGTTTCAAATAGAGATGAACAAAGAGTTCATGACTGCTGATTCTGTTCAAAATCAGTCAGATCAACCATCAGTTTGTACATGACTGATTTTGTACTAAAATAATTTTACAGTGTAGCTTTGTGCAAGTGGAGAATCTAGTACGCAGATTTTTAAGGTTCTGTTTTTTTTCACTAACATTATGTCTTTCTGGAGACAAACATTTAGGAGATTACTATAATTGTGATAGGAACTCGATTTCCCATAAAAAGTATAGAAAATGAATATCCACACAGGACTGCAAAATTACATTTT